ACTCTGGAAAACAATATGGAGGTTCCTCAAAAGACTAATCATAGAGCTTCTCTATGACCCAGAAATTCCACTCCTGAGCATTTTTCCATTAGACCACAGACAGGCCACACTAAAGCTAGTAGCAAAACCATGTTCATTACAGAATTCTTTATTTTTTCATTCTGTTTTGTTATTGTCAAGGTAATGTACTGAGGGGTTACAGTTATATAAGAAAGGTAATAAGTACATTTCTTGTCAAACTTGTTACCCCTTCCCTCATTTTTCTCCTACTTTCTCTCCTCCTAACCCCCAAGTCCCAAGTTGTACAGATCATTTCCAACATATTTTTTGTGTATATCACATTGCAGCATTCTTTACGAAAGCCAAGATATAGAGTCATCCCAAATGCCCCTCAGTGGACAAACAAGAAAATATGTATATATACACAGTGGAATTCTACTCATCCATCAGAAAGCATGAAATTATTTTGAAGTGTTTAAATTTCTTTTTCTTTTTTTTTTTGTTGGTTGTAGTTCTTTAACTAGGGAACTAGGTACTGTTCCTGACTTCTTTTGCTCAAGGCTAGCAGTATACCACTTTGAACCACAGCTCAACTTCAAATTTTCTGGTGGTTAATTGTTGATAAGAGTCTCATGAACTTTCTCAGGCTGGCTTTGCACCACAGTTCTCAGATCTCAGCCTCCACGAGTAGCTAGTATTTATAGGTGTGAGCCACGAGCAGCTTGCTAAATTTATTTCTTTTTAAATAACAGTAAGATGAAATTTTAGTTGAATTAGCTGGATAGTGTGTAAGTACAAACTTCAACTAATAATAATATTTTAATTGAAGGAAAAAATATTCTGACCTCTTGTAAAAGTGGGAATGTTCTCTGTGTAATAAAAGGATAGTAGAAAATTTGAAACTGGCTTTTATAAATTAGCAGTAAGAAAAATGGTGGTAAAAAAAAATGTAAAGTGAGGAAGTGGCACTGTGGCTCAAGTGGTAGAGTGCTACCCTTGAGCTGAAGGACAGTGCCCAGGCCCAGAGTTCAAGCCCCACGACTGACCTCCCCCCTCCCCCAAAAAAAGAAAGAAAAAAAAAGAAAAAATGTAAAGTGAAAAGTTTAAGGTTAAGTATATAAATGTTAATAAAGTAAAAAAAAGTCATAAGTAACCAATTTTCTTTGTTTCTGCTAAGTTTTATAGTGTTATTAGAGTGACTCATTAAAATTTGGTATGACTACCTTATCTTGTGTTGATTATCTAGATGAATCAATATTGGCTTCAGGGTAACAAGTGTTCTTTAGTATTGTCAGATGAGAAATAAAAATTATAGTAACAGAACTTCAGTATTAGACTAGTTGTTAGGTATTATATACATAGTTGAGCAAGTTACAAAAGATGGGGAAAGAAAATCAGTTAACAGATTCATTTATATTTATATTGTACTATTAAAGGATGATATGTCATTAGCCACTGCTTAGTAAAAAACTACCTTAGAAATTTAGTTCTTTTTCTTAGAAGATTTTATTCTGGCCACAAAATAAGATAAAAGCAAAACATAGACCCATTTTAAGATTGAATACCTGTCTCACTTAATGTAGAGGACTAATTTTAGAAGACATTTTGGATTCTAAAGAACAGTTTTAGATAGTGAACAAGAAAGAGGCAATGGTCAGTAGTATATTTTTTTTGGGGGGGTCTGGCCTGAACTCTGGGCCTGGGCGCTGTCCCTCAGCTCTTCAGCTCAAGGCTAGTGCTCTACCACTTGAGCCACAGCGCCACTTCCGGCTTTTTTCTTTTTGCTTATGTGGTGCTGAGGAATCGAACCCAGGGCCTCATGCATGCAAGGCAAGTGCTCTACCACTGAGCCACCTTCCCAGCCCCTTTGCTTATGTGGTGCTGGGGAATCGAACCCAGGGCCTCATGCATGCAAAGCCAGCGCTCTACCACTGAGCCACCTTCCCAGCCCAGTAGTATATTTTTTTGAAGTCTTAAAACTTTTTACCACTTATTTCTGTGTCCATAATAAATTAGCATGGGATTGATGGGATAGGAATATGGTTTGAAAAGCTTGTTTAACTTTGTCAATTTTCAAGAATACTTATTAAAAGTGTATGCATACTCTTATTAAGAGCTATAAAGAATTTTCTGTTAATGGTATATCTCTTCTTTAGAATAAAGTTTCTCTAAAGTACAAATAAGTCAGTCTCCTGCTATTTGATTTGCTTTTTGTGTTTTTTTTTTTTAAGAAAATGAAAACTTTGTGAGATTGGTTATTTATTCCTTCAGTGTTAGTTTTTAGTGTATAATCATCTGTGACATTTTAATCTTCCTTTTGAATACTAAAGACTTTAGCATTTAATGTGTGTTTAAATAGAAGAAGTATGTAATGATAGTATCTGAAATAACCAGTTGAACGCTTATATTAAGCTTAAATAAATTAAACATATTTTTATGGTACTGGGGTTTGAACTCTGTGCATTGTGCTTGCTAGACAGATACCCTACTTTGGAACCACACCTCCAGCTCTTTTTCATGCTGGTAATTTTTGAGAGTATTATTTCCAACCTGGACATGTACCTGGATTATAATCTGCCCATTTTTGGTTTCCTGTAGTAGCTAAAATGACTAGTGAGTACAGCTACAGCCAACTTAATCAGTTGAGGAGAAGTCTTCCTGCCCAGAATAGCCTTGAACTGTGATCTTCCTGCTCTTAGTCTTTCAAGTAGCTAATATAGATGTGAACCACTCAGGTGCCTGGCTAAACTTAACTCTTTTTGTAGATGCATAAACTAATTGTTTAAGTAAAAATTGAAACTGTGTAGACAATTTACGTAAGTACTTTTTTGAAGGGTCTAACAAGGAAATCCACCTTGACTTAAAGGAGATAATCTGAATGTGACAAGCTGAGTATCTTTAATTAAAAACCTCACTTTGGAAATGTCAAATGCATATAGATCAGAAAGGAAGACAGACACATTTAATTTGTTGAGCTGATTAAGTGTTGTGAAAATAATACTAGTTTTATTTAAGGTTCTGCAAGTCATGAGTGTTGCCATTCTGTGAATTATCAGTTTGTAATCTTAGAAATCTTACATTATTGCTTCAGTTAAAGTCTTTTTTTTTTTTTGGTTTGTCAAGGGCTTGAACTCTGCTTGGGCGCTGTCCCTGGGCTCTTCAGCTCAAGGCGCGTGCTCTACTGCTTAAGCCACAACACCACTTCCTGTTTTCTGGTGGTTAATTGGAGATAAGAGTCTCATGGAGTTTCCTGCCCCAGCTGGCTTTGAACTGTGATCCTCAGATCTCAGCCCCCTGAGTAGCTAGGATTACAGGTGTGAGCCACCAATGCCTGGCTTGGTTCAAGTCTTTATACCTAGAACAGTCTATTCACAGCAGTAAATTCCCAGGGTTTACAGCCTACTCATCTGTTCAGTCCAATACTAGATTTCTAGATCTTTTTATCGGTGTTTCTTTTTATCACTGTTTTTTTTAAAAATCATTGTATCATTGGTGTCTTTGTTTTTGACAGTTCTTTAAAATTTATGAATTTTTGTCTTCAGCCATCTGATAAAAAGGTTTAAAATTATGATTTAGAAAAGCAAATCTTGGGGGCTGGGAAGGTGTCTCAGTGGTAGAGCGCTTGCCTCACATGCATGAGGCCCTGGGTTCGATTCCTCAGCACCACATAAACAGAAAAAGCCAGAAGTGGCGCTGTGGCTCCAGTGGTAGAGCGCTAGCCTTGAGCTGAAAAGCTGAGGGACAGCGCCCAGACCCAGAGTTCAGGCCCCATGACAGGCAAAAACAAAAACAAAAACAAAAAACAATGTTCTCTTAAGGGTAAACAAAGGAGGAGGCTGCAATTCTTGGTAAGAAATGTACGCATTATCCCGCCCATGTAATTGTAACCCCTCTGTACAGTATGTTCACAAATAAAATAAAATTAAAAAAAAAGAAAAGCAAATCTTTCTCTGTTCAAAAGTATGTTTCCTTATAAAGGTAATTCTTTAAAAAACAAGCAAAAACTTTTCTTGGTTATAGACAATCCATGCTTATCTTTCTCCCTAGTTACTTATCTGGGTTCACAACTTTGGTGGTTGACACTGATTACTAAAGTGTTGCTCTTCCTTGATTATTTTGACTTCTATTTCTCATACTGCCTTTTTAGAGAGATTTAAAGTCAACAAAGAATTCTTGTGGTATTCTCCTCTGCCACTATACAGTACTTCATTTCTTTCTTCTGCTTGTTTTTTTTTTTTAATGGGTATGAAAGGCTTATTTTGGGAAAACTCTGTGTCTGTTGCCAGGTAGGGTCTCCATTCTCACAAAGCCAAATCTTTATCTATAAACAGAGATGATGGCTGCAAGTAGAATTTTGACCACTCAGTACTTCATTTCTTGATGGGAACTCTGATACTTATACCTCTCATTTGCAACTATAGAATGATTGAATGATCTCAAATAATAGAAGCAAGGAAAATTAGATTGGACTAGATACTTTTTGAGTAAGTTTAGAATTACGGGTATGGGAAAAGGTTGGTTAGGAAGTAAATTTTTATAATAACTTTTCACGTCATCAATGTGTTAACCATCTGGAGGATGGATATAGATGAAAAAGGATGCCTAGGAAGTTAGAAACCTGAGTTGTTGAACTAGATAGATCTGAATTTGATCATTTTCTAGCTTGTGATATTGAGAAATGACTTGGAACACTCTATTCATCTGATCTTCTGTTAGTTGAGAATGTTGCTATAATTTACCTGACAGTACTGCTGAGAGGATTAGAATGTAGATGCAGCAAATAGCATATAGCCTAGGTCATGTTAAATACTCTGTATATGTTAATTATTGCTAATAGAGAAAGAAAACAAGTTCCCTTGCACCAAAATAGGAATGAGATGCCAAATTGTCTTTTCATTACTTGCTTGGAATCCAGAGAAATTAAATGATTTTATTGGTGTTTCATTTTTAAATCTTCTAGCTAGTTTTTATTTTTTTTTATTACAATTTATCTCCTGAAGGTCAAGTTACCTGGTTTGGTTATGAAAGTCCTCGTAGCTTCTGGGACTATATCAGAGTGGCTTGTCGGAAAGTTTCACAAAATTGTATCTGCAGCATTGAAAATATGGAAAATGTCAGCTCCTCTAGAGCTAAGGTAAGACACTGACAATATGTACCGTGTATATTCTAATAATAAGCATTTTTTAACTAATAAGCACTTTAGGAAGGAGAAAATGTTTTCTTTCTTTACTGTTGTAGCAGAAAGGTCTGAACCTACTCAGCTAAAATGAAAATGTTTCCTATTTTAATTGCTTGATGATTTCAGGAAATAGCTGTCTAAAGAATGCCCTGAATATCTTTTCTTTAAAATTCACATTCTTTCTGCCACACACACAGTATAAAAACACTAGTTTTACCTTACAATATTCATGATGTGCAGTAAACACTAATTTTATTAGATCTCAACTTCTGCCTATGTGTATTTTTAATATTATAAGTAAAATAAAAATAAGGCCAGCCAATGCCTGTAATCTAGCATTATAGTGAGGCGGAGGCAGGAGGCGAGTTCCTAGCCTGTCAGCTAAGAAAAATGGGAAATATGCATAAAACATTTCTGTAAGAAACTGAAATATAGTTTCCCCTAAGAAAGGCATTTTTGCAGTTGTTTGAATCTTAATCTGAACTATGTATTTTTCATTTTATGCTATTTATTTATTTTTCATTTTTTGTTTTTGTTTTGGTTGGTCATGGGGCTTAAACTTGGGGTCTGGAAGCTGTCCCTGAGTTCTTTTTGCTCTAGGCTAGCGCTCTACCACTTGGAGTGCACAGCACCACTTCCAGTTTTCTTTTGGTTAATTGGAGATAAGATCTCATAGACTTTTCTACCTGGGCTAGCTTTGAGCTGCAATCTTCGGATTTCAGGCTCCTGAGTAGCTAGGATCACAGGCATGAGCCATTAGTGCCTACCTTTTAGACTGAACATTTGGCAAACATTCTTTTGAAGAAAAAGAAACTTTCTTTCTGAAGAAGGCACTTCAGGATACAGTTAACAGTATTTATTGCCAATACTAAAATTAAAGCTTTTTTTAAAAATCCCATTTTTTTAATCACTAACCTTATAATAATGTAAAATATACCTCCAATCCATTCAGTCAATGATAAAATACTTCAAAAGTAGATGACATTTAAAAATAATACATATATTTACATAATTTCATTAAAATCAATCAATAAAAAATATTTCTTGAATGTCAGCTGTGTGCTAACACTATGCTGGACCACCATAGATCTATTGATGAATGAAGCAAATAGAATTTTCTCCCTTTAAAAGCGTAACTTCAGGTGGTAGAAACAAATATGTCACTTTTAATGCTGGGAAAGAAGAGTTATGATAAAAATAAATAAACAATATATGGAAGTCCACTCTGGATCCCCAGAAATGGAACAGGAACATGGAGGGGAAGTAGTGAAAGGAGGAAGCGGATCATTCCGATACAGGAATCTATTTGGTTTTTCACACTGAAATGTGAGGTATAGCTGTCCTTCTTGATATTTGATGTAAAAGTAAAACTTTTAAGCAAAAACTAAACTTAGGAAAACTTGTTTACCACTTTAATAGTTAGTAAAAGCTTTTGTTGTGGGGGGGAGTGTGGGGAGCAGAGGCAAAATTTTTATTTAAAGTGTGAGTAAGGCATCAGGAAAACTAAGGAAAGCTTCCTAGCTCTTGGTGGCTTGGTATAAATCCCCATCCAGGACTCCAATTAAAGGCTTTTCTGGTAACAATGATGTTGATAATTAGCAAAGATCTGTTTAAGGAAATTGTTAACACTGACAGACCTGTTTTATATCTACCAATTGATCATTTCATAACATTATAAAATCATACATCAGTAAATGATGGATTATCAATGGATTTAATGTAATACTGTATTAAAAGTTTATTAGTTTTGTTATATATTCCATGATCCAAATGACATTTACTGAGTTTTAATTTATAATCAAGGGAGAACATCACAATTATCTGTAAAGCTATTAAAAGACTTTTTTTTCCAACAGTGGATTTTATACATATACATAAAATAAGATAGTAGTAGCTAAATGTAGGAGATATGTAGAACTTCTATGAATAAGACATATTATTGTAGAATTATAAAATAATTGCATTTTAGTGGAATTTGTAGCAGTTTTGCTTTCACATTTTTCTTGCGGTTTAAGGAAATAATATCTTGGTTTCTTTAGGCTATGATTAAAAGATTAGTTGTAATAAGAATGAATCAAATATTCATAGATTTTATAAGAAATAATTATAGAACATAAACTTTATTTTCTACAGTAGGCTATATAAGCCTGAGAAGCACATTGTAAATCTCTTCAATAGAATGTATTTATAAAACTAGCATATACCCAAAATACAGAAAGTAACTGAGAATTCAGCTAACATTATAATGTGGCTTTTGACCTGGGTGGACCAAAGAAATTCTAACCCTAGCTTCTCAGCTGTCTTAATCAGACTCTTGGGCCAGCATCATCAGCAAACAGGATGATACCCAGCAGGGCTAACGTTTATTCTCTAAAGAACTGGTGCTGAGTATCAAAATGCCACAGAAAAATCATGTTCCCATCATGTGTTTTTATCTTTATTTTGCTCAGTCCTTAAGCATATTCTATTTAGTAGAAGAGAGACCTAAAATTTACTTGGTTTTGGCAAGAACTAGATCTGCTTTTATTCATTGCAGGAAGAAGAGCAAAAAGTACTTAATCATACCTTCTAACTGTCAGGATCAAAGAACTGAATAAATGTATCAGTGGTTTATGGATGCTTTGAGTGGCAGTCTTGAAAAATATTCCACATTAAAGCACCAAAATTAGCTGATAAGTTATATACAACTTAGTGTACTTGTTACCAAAGCAGCATCATTTTTAATATTATATAAAGGGGCAATTTTTCTTTGAGTACACTTTTAGTCTTATACAGATAATAGTTTAAACTTTAAGCAATGGAAGACATAGATGTACAATTGGACACTGACTAATTTGATATAGCAACATTATTTGTTGTTGTTTGATCTGGGGTTTGAACTCAGGCCTTGTGCTTGCTAGGTAGTCACTCTGCTACTTAGCAACAGCCCCATCCTTCAGAATGAAGGATGCACTTTTTGCCCAGGCCAGCTGCAGACCTCAGTCTTCCTACATTTCTTACAACTCTGTAATCACTATAATCATCCTAGAAGCATTCCTTAGTATTCTCTCCCTCCCTCCCTCCTCTTTCTCTCTCTCTCTCTCTCTCTGCCCTCTCCCGCCCTCCCTCTCCCTCCCTCTCTGTCTCTGTCTCTCTCTGTGTCTGTCTGTCTGTCTGTCTGTCTGTCTCTCTCTCTCTCTCTCTGTTGCTAAAGATTGAACCCTGGGCGATGTGCATATGTGCTCTGGGCACGTGCTCCTCCACTGAATTACACCCCAACCCCCATTCTTTGGATTACGTTGAATTGGAAACTGAAGACATGGCCCAAGTGGCAGAGTACTGGCCTTTTAAAAAAGCAGAGTGAAAGCATGAAGGCACTGAGTTCAAGTCCCAGTGCCAGCCCCCAAAAGATTAAGTTCAGTTGATTGAATTTGGATTATTTGTGTCCTGATACCACTGTGCCACTTAAATTATATTTTGGAAACTTATCATCATTGGAGATCTGATACTTAGTTTCTCCAAAGGTAAAATGAATGAAATACAGACCCTTCCCTTTCTTTGCTTAGACTGTCACAAGTTGAGCCTATTTCCTAAGACCTAAACATAACCTAATGACTAAGTAGAATACTGATACAACTGTCATTCCGTATTGGTATACTTGCAATGTTTCTGTAATAGGTAAACATTTTTAGACATAAGATTTATATAAATACACTTACTTAGGTTTCAGATCATATTCTCCTTAGCAAGTCAATTTCTTTTAGTTCACTCTTTTCTAAGCTCCTGTGAATCTTCTCCATGCCCTTGCACTGATTATTAGTAAATTTGCTATATAAGTTCTAACAAAAACCACTCCTAATTGAATTGTTAGTTACTACTGTTACTGACCTTGTGTTTCTATTGGATTTCCTTAATATTTGAACTGGTTTCAAGTTTGAGAAATCCTTTTGTTTTAACTTTCTTTTTGTATTTTTTCTTGGAAAGAGTGGAGTTAGAACTCAGAGCTTCCCACTTGCTAGGTAGGAATTTTATCCTATTTTCCTGCCCTCCCTTCCCCTTCTCTTCCCTCCCCTCCCCTTCCCTTCCTCCCTCTCTCTCTTTCTCCCTCTCTTTCTTTCTCTTTCTCTTGTTCTCTCTCTTCTCTTTTTCTTTCTTTTTTCTCTCTCTCCCTCCTTTCTTTCTTTCCTCCTTCCTTTCTTTCTTTTTTCTTTCTTTCTTTCTTTTTCTCTCTCTCTCTCTTTCTTTCTTTCTTTCTTGCTTGCTTGCTTTCTTTCTTGGCTTGAACTCGGGGCCTCCACTCTATCCCTGAGCTCTTTTGCTCAAGGCTAGTGCTCTACCACTTGGAGCCCAATACCACTTACTGCTCTGGCTGTTTTTTGAGATAAAGCCATTTATTTATTTATTTAGGTTAGGGCCACCTGGACCTCATTTCTCTTCTTTAGTATTTATGCCATAGCTAAGATAATAGGTAATCTACCTATTATCTACCACCTTTTTCTGTTGAGAATGGGGCTCTTGAAGTGTTTCCCAATCTAGCCTGGAACTGTGATTCTTCCCATTTCAGCCTCGGGAGTATGGGAGTGAGCTACCACATCCAACTTTTCCTCAAGGTTTGAGCCTGTATTGTTCTTAAGTTTTCCTACCTTTGAGTTGCCAGTCAAACCACAATTTAAAAGAAAGAATTTTAAACAAGCATGGCTGAAAATATGCCTATAGTTTTCCTTTGAGGTTGTTGCTAATTCTTCATTTTTGATATTAGAGTATAAGTCCCATAAACTAAGCTGAAAGCAGTAGGTAAGAGATAAAAACAGCTGATTGAAGATGTCACAGTCTTGTTCTGGAGCGATGGAGGTGAAAGTACCAGGGCAAACAAGATGGAAAGTACTGTAAACACTCCAGGTTTCACATATAAGGTTTATAAGACATAGGCAATTCTGAAGTCCAACACCTCAAAAATATGGCCAAAAGTGATGCTCTAAATGATGATAGGTAATATTCTAGTACTCTGAATGCCTGCCAGATAAATAAATTTCTGAAAAAAGCTACAGATTTTTTTAACAATACCCATTATTCAATAAATTCAAGAATCTCAAAAAAGAAAAAAGATAAAGCCAGGTATTATAGTTCACACCTAATCCCAGCTACACTGGAGGAGGAGGAGTCAGGAGGAAAATTAGTTTATGGCCAGCCCAGGCAGCATTTAATAAGACATGTAACTCAGAAACAAAATCAAAAGGGCTGAAGCTATGGCTTAAATGGGAAAATGCCTACCTATTGTGCACAAATACCTGGCTTAATCCTCAATATCACAAAAAAAAAAAAAGAGCAGGGCCATGTCTATAATCCTACATACCCAAGAGGATGAGATCTGAGGATCTCAGTTCAAAAATACCGAAGGAAAGTTCTGAGGTCTCTTATCTCCAATAAACCATGAGAAAAGTGGAAATGGAGGTCTGACTCAAGTGGTAGAATGCTCACCTTGGGGAAAAAAGCTGAGGAACAGTGCCCAGGACTGAATCATAAAGAAAAAAAGGAAAAGGAAGGAAAGGAAGAAAGGGAAGAAAGAAAGAAAGAAAGAAGGAAAGAAGGAAAGGGAGGAGAGAAGAGGAGGGGTAGGGAGGAGGAGAGGGAAAAAGAAAGAAAGGAAAGGAAAAGAAAGCAAGCTCAAGTTATATATTTGTTAATTGAATATATATAGTGAATATATATAAGTAAATATATATATATATATATATATATACATCTATATAGGTTTCTTGAACCTACAGAGTACTATTTTCTGAGACATTATTTGTCTCAATTTCAGAGGGTTGGAATCATATAAAGTAGGTTCTCTAACCACAGTTAACACAATAAATACATAATGCTTTTATCAGTGAAACTGGGAAGAGCCAGGCATAGTGGTATTTCCTGTGAACCCAGCACTTGGGAGGCAGAATCAAAGTAATTATGAGTTCCTCTAGTAAAGTAGGTATTGTACTAGTACTCCAAATGCCTGCCAGATAAATAAATCTCTGAAAAAAGCTACAGATTTTTTAACAATACCCATTATTCAATAAATTCAAGAATCTCAAAAAAGAAAAAAGATAAAGCCAGGTATGATAGTTCACACCTAATCCCAGCTACTCTGGAGGAGGAGGAGTCAGGAGGAAAGTTAGTTTATGGCCAGCCCAGGCAGCATTTAATAAGACATGTAACTCAGAAACAAATTGTACTATTTTAGGATACTGGAGCATACATAGTGTTCATACAATTTTTAGGAGTATTAACTGCTGTATGAAAAAATTCTAAAAATAAGGCCCAGTATTCATTGGTCATATTCTAAAGGAGTATTGACTATTTTTGCTATTTTTAAAACTATCATTAACTATTAAAGTCAAATTTTCTTACAAATTTTCTTAGCCTCCAAACCTTGATAATTCTGTTTATCTCCTTTATCTGAAGGAAAAGAAACCATTAAAATTTAGTACAATCTATTTTCACTATATAAAATGTCTCACACAAAGACAGGAAATTATTGCAGCCAGTTTTGTAGGGATTGAAATTAATAAATAAGGAAGTAGTATTTTTCCCACTTTGCTTATCTAGAAACTGCATGGTGTCTATGCCTGATTTTTCTCTAGATAGAATCTTGTGTGTGCATTGGTGACCTTGTGGCTTCCCTCCCCCCCCTTTTTTTTTGAAAACTACTGCCATTAGATTCTATATCTTTAGAGAAATTTCAAGGAAGATCCTATGAGGAGGCTTGGCCAGCTAGTGACTTGCATCTTCCATCCTCTGTTCTGATCAACTGCAGCTTACTGTAGGTGCCTATAGACTTACTCTGAAGGAACTATGGGCTGAGCATAGGGCAAACTAAAAGAGGGTGGTAAGGTTGGTAGGCAAAATGCATGCTAACAACCCCTACTTCATGATCTTCCCAGTAGAACTCCTGCTTTTACTCCTTTTTATCACCACCTACACTACCTCCTTTTTGACTATTGTTTCCCAAGTGTTTGGTGTATTGACTATATGTACATACACAGTCACACCTTCCTCCCCTTACCTATGTTAGCTGAACATCATTCTCACTAATATCATCTTTATTTTTCATTGTAATTGCAGTATTTTGGATTTTTTTTGATGGTTGTGGGGTCTGAACTCGGAGACTGGGCACTATCCCTCAGCTCTTCAGTTCAAGGCTAGTGCCCTACCACTTGAGCAACAGCACTACTTCTGGCTTTTTCTGCTTATGTGGTGCTGAGGAATTGAATCCAAGGCCTCATGCATGCAAGGCAAGCACTCTACCACTGAGCCAACTTCCCAGTCCCTATTTTGGATTTCTGTATATTCGGTCTTCATGAATTTTTCTGAATATTTGATAAGGGGTCAAGTTAAAATGAAAGTAAAATTTAAAATTCTTTCTACTGATGTGATCTCTTACATTGTTTCATAGAAATTCTTTGGATATTATAAAAAGATTGGCTAACCTCAGTTATCAAAAAAGTATTAGCACTCTCTGTGATTCTGTGCCAGAATATGCTGACTTCTGAGCATACTAGACAAGTACTCTAATCACTGAGCTATACTCCAACCCTTTGTTCTTTTTTATAGTTTCAATACTTGTTAATAGATTGGAATTTGGGTATCCAAAGTAAAAAAGTCATGATTTGGCCACACAAACATGCAATTTTATACAGTTCATAATGAACTGTATAAAACCTTCCTCTGGAAAAATAGCAGGGGAAATTCTCTTAAATTAATGGTGGTAGAATGTTTGTAACTGATAGCATGTTAGCTTAGAGTATAGAAGTAGAGTTTTATCTCATTATTATATTATATGATTTAAAGTAAGTCTTTAACATAAGTAACTCAATATTACTATATTGTGCCCTGAACTTCTGAGAACAAGATACATACTTTATATAATCAAATTTATTTTTGTCTGTCTGGATATTTTTGTTAGTCTTTAATAAATGTGTGTTTTGAGTGCTTGTTCTTCATTTGTTAAGATGCTTATGTTTTTGGTGGCATATATATTTTAATTGCTTTCCTATTTGATTGTTTCTTCTTTCTTTTAGGGTAGAGCCTGGATTAGAGTAGCACTTATGGAAAAGCATTTATCTGAATACATCTCTACGGCTCTGAGAGACTTCAAAACAACCAGGTTTTTAATCTTCTTAGTATTTTTCTAATTCTAATTCTAATCGTTCTAATTTTCTTAGTATTTATTTAAAATAATCATATACAGACATAGAATGAAGAGTTAGTTTCTGAAGTCTCAACTTTTTTTCCATTTCTTTTTAAAAATTTTTTTCTTTTTTTGTCAAAGTGATGTACAGAGCAGTTATAGTTACATAAGTCAGGGAGAGAGTATATTTCTTGTCAAACTTGTTATGATGCAGCTAATTCCACTAACTTCTTAGTAAAGTGTAATCTGTGTTGATTTATGTAAGAGATGTGTATCTTACCTAGAACTCTTGATTTAAAAAAAATAATTCCTGATTCTCACTCTTTGAACACTTGAAGCTTCATTTCCCAGTAGAATTTTTTATTTGCTTGTAAAGAACTTAAGTGAATCATTTACTTTTTCAGTCCTTGTATATAATTGATGATGGCTTGTCTTTTTAGGTTAGTTTATAGCAACACTTCTTCTTTCATTATACAGACTTAAGAGATGGCATATTTTGCCATGTGAAAAACAGAACCTTTTAAATTTTTTATGATGGTAGCAAAGTTAATATTAGGAAAAAGAAGTAATATATATTTAGCTCTGGTCTACTGATCTATATTTGTTGCTATTGAGGACATCACTGAAGACATTGCTTTCCCCATATCAAAAGTGTTTGCTAATGTCATTATCTTAGTCACATACTGCCACTGTTTTGTGCCACCAGCCACTATATTACATAAAGTTCCAAACTTAGTTCTTTAATTGCGATATCACACTTCAGGTTCTCAATAACCACATGTGGCTAATGGATAACACAGACAAAGAACATTTTCTTCCTCACTGAAAGTTCTATTAGACAGGAAGTTACTTCTAAAATATTATTTTATTTTACCTTGACAATATTGATGACTAGCAGTCAGATTTGATAGAGAAAATTAGGCCTAAAGAACATTCATATCTGGAACGCTGTCTTTCAAGTCCTGACATTGTGGATTTTGAGATGATCTGGGAATTTTTTAGCTTACTTTTAGTACAGACTGTAGTATCTTTAGTTATATTCCTATATCTTTACAGATAAAAAGAAGTGAACTTTCACTTTGAGAGATACAAAAATAAAGTTGTTTCAGTAATTAATTTGACCAGAATAGTAACATGTTTAGCTCTTAAAAGTATTTGTGTAAAGTATACCTACTTTGTTGAGTTCTTTTTAGCAACATGTACTCTTGTAATGTTTCTAAAGGTAGAACTCTTAAATGTATGAAATTAACTTGATAAAATGAAATATTTATTCTCACTAGTCAACAAGTTTGACTAGTTGGAAGTACTAGCATTTTGGAAATAAAAGAAGAACACAGTATCAGAAATGGAGAGATGAAGCATACAAATTCTAAGTTAATGAAATTAAGTCAGTTTCACACAATGATCATCTCTTTTGCACTTATAATATTGCATTTTTCTAAACAGAAATTAAAACATTAATATTCTTAACTTGTTAGTCTGTTCTTAGTTTAAATGATTGGGTGGAGTAGAAATAATTCTTGAATAGATTATTTTTAGAACAAGTTTACATATTTAATGGGAAGTGTTTTTTTCCTTGTTCTTAAGTGTTAGCTGTGTTTTTTGACAAAAAAGGAAATGAGTCAGCTCCTTAAAAAGTCTATGAAGTAAAAAAAAATTCTTGTTATAATATATAAGATTCTCTGTTCAAATACAAATGTAGCTTAGTGCACATATATGTATATACACACATTATACACATACACATTATATTGACAACAGCAATAAGATACAAATATAATGGCTTTGTAATTCCCATGAAATGAAGTTAAGTAGGGAGTTGTCTCAGAATTTCCATTTTAGATGGTGACTAAAAATGTGAAAAAACAAAATTTTTCTTTTTACTACTAATACTATAATTTTTACTCAAAAGAAGACAAACTTTAAATTATACATAATTTGTATACAAAGCTCTAGTCAAAGAAAAACATTTGGAAGATTAGATTTGTAAAATATAAAACAAAATATTGGAGAAAGTACTTGTACTTTACCTTTTATCTGGATGGTTGTGGAGGTAGGTGCTTAGAGAGAAAAATGATCTCCAATCCTGTAGGTACTTTGAGAGTCTGAACACAAGTGTGCGGCTTATTCTGTCTGACTTCACAGACAAATGGCACTGATACTATCCAAAATAGTGGAAGAAATGTTTGCTCCAGTGCAGGAGGAGGAGCTTCATGATCTAAGGCAGGCAACTTGTGAGCCACTGATCTGTGAAAATCCAAGGATCTGTATGAGTGGAAGAGGGTAGAGAGCAAAAATACAGTAAGCTTTCTTATAATAAGCTTTTATCTGACTGTAGCTCAAGAACATCAAAGACATTTATGTGATCTTTTTGCTGACATGGAAGATATCTCGGAGAACTACTAAAAAAGAAAACACCATCTAGAAGAGTTTATGGCTTAGGGATTTGAATATTACTAGGAGAGAGGCACAGTTGGGAAGTCGGAAGAGTGAAGATTACAAACTAAACTTATGTGATTTTTTTTGTTTCCTTTGAGGGTTTTTCCCTCTATGGTATATCCCCTGTTATCACTGTACTTGATTTTGGTACCGTGCATCTTGTATATACATTTGTCTAATTTGGAGAGGGGAAGGAGAATGCTGAACAAGGACACAGGAATACTCATTGCAACAATGATACCCACAAAACAGTATATTGGAAATGAACTTTACAACTTGTGGAGGAGGGAGGTTGGAAGGAGTGAGGGAAGTGGGGGAGGGAGGGGATAGCGGGAGAACAAGGAAAGGGGAAACAATGCTAGATAAGAAATGCACTCAGTGCCTCACTCATGTAATGCAGCCCCTCTGCACATCATCTTTACAATAAAATAAAATTTTTAAAAAAGAAAAATTCACCAATCAAAAACTTATGTTAAATTAAATTTTAAAAACACCTCATAGGGAACTTCATTGGTAGTTTCCTAGGAAGAACTACAAATGAGAAGGAAAATAAACTCTGAATTTGTTCAAAGTTTTAATTTCTCTTCACCAATCCCCTGAAAAATAATCAGATATTTTAAATTAAAAATTGAAAGTGTGCTTGTGTTTTGAAGAATGTGGTAAATATTCAAAGTAATAAATATGGCCAAATGTGATGTAACAGATGTGGAAATCTAAAGATAAAATTAATTTTATGGAAACATGTAACTGTAATTATACAACAGGATTTATTTTTAATGTAAAAGTTGCATTCCAGTGAAGTGTTCATTTTTCACAATATTTTTTCCTATAATTCTTTTTTTATTGTGAAAATACCGTACAGAGGGGTTACAATTACATGAGTAAGGTAATGAGTACATTTCTTATCAAGCATTGCTGCCTCCACCTTTGTTTCCCCTTGGAGGATTATAACTTTGTAAATTACTGAACTGTCATAGAGCCTACTGTAAGTTGATAAATACTTCTCAGTTCTAAAGTAGATGGATAATAATGTTACCAAATGTTTTTAGGAGCCAAGGAATCTGAATATGCTCCAAGTTTATATTTAGTTAATTCTGTAATGTACATGGATTTACTTTCCACAGTTTCAGTTACTTTTCACCTGAAAATATTGAGTGGAAAGTTCCAGAATTAAACTGTTTATATGCTTTAAGTAATTTTTTACATTTTGTTGCTTATAACTTCTATTTTTACCATTGTCCTTTTTTATTTTTAATAAGTTTTTATTGTGAAAATACTGTACAGAGGGGTTACAGTTACATGAGCAAGGTAATGAGTACATTTCTTATCAAGCATTGTTGCCTCCTCCTTTTTTCCCCCCTTTACCATTGTTTTTAATTTTTTTTGGTGGCCAGTTTTTTTTTAATTTAATTTAATTTTATTTGTGAACATACTGTACAGAGGGGTTACAATTACATGGGCAGGATAATGTGTACATTTCTTAGGAAGCATTGCAGCCTCCTCCTTTGGTTTACCCTTCACATCCCTTCCCAGCCTCCCCCCTCCCCCAATCCCAATCCTTCTCCTTCCCCCCCTTCCCCCCCACCCCGCCCGACGTTGTAAAGCTCATTTTGGACATGACAACTTGTACTTCTCATTGTTGCAACAGGTCCACCTGTATCCTTAAACGACTTGTTTTTCCCCATCTCCTCCACAAGTTATACTGACATCAAATATAGGGAAAGCAGGGGTTATACTGTGGGGGAGGGACATACAAAGCAACAAAGAGATAATCTTATAAATGCGTTAGAAACACATGCATGAGAGAAAAAAACATTAAAATACATATCTAAGGGTTCATGTTCCTGACATCATATTATCTGACCTTTAGGATGGCCAGTTTTTAAATTCAACTTTATCATAAGCCTATCACATAGGTAGCAACATAACATGTACAGTTGCTCTTATATGTAGTATGAGGGGACTATATCTCAATAATCCCTTAGTAAATTGAAAATAGTGTAAGTTGAAAATACATCTGATATACCCAGCATACCAATATTTATACTCTAGCTTTGCCTACCTTAACCTTCTCAGAGCACATGAATGTACAGTTGGGCCAAGTATACTATGTAACTATGTGATTTTATTGCTCACTAGGAACTGCAGCGGGTCCCTGGTACCTATCATACTGTCTGTTCCTAAAAGTTCAATATTTGTAGCTTACACATGTAAAAGCTTAGCATTATTTTTAAAATCAGGATATGTAATGCCTTAGTTATATTTGGCAGGATGTGAAAAAACCTAGAAGCTGGAGTTTTGAGCACTATATTTTGTCATTGTTGCTTTGGGGGAGAGCATAGTCACACTGATAGACAAACAACAGAAATAATGGAAAGTGACAGGAATTGCCACTCATTTTGCAACAAGAGATAGTGCAAGAAAAGTAAGAAATTTCCATATAACCTCTATTCTTATGTATGCTAGTCTGTATGGAGATTTCTCTACTTATGTTGGATTTTATTTCATATAAAATGTTATTTACTATTTTCTTCCAT